TTTGTCAATTCTACTTTGCAAAGAGTTTTCAGTTTTCGCCTCACATGTTGTTATGCTCTTTTTAAGGTGCATATTAAAGATTGTTGTATCTTCTTGAGGAATTGATCCCTTCATCTTATATAATGCCCCTTTTATCCCTGATAAAAATATTAGCAAATCAAAGACCACGATGTATGAAAAAAATATTACAGCATTACCAAATGGGATTTATTTCAGGTATGCATACTCATTTAATATTTGAAAATTAATTAATGTAATCAACTACATCAACAAGGTTAAAAAAGAAAATCATATGATTATGTCAAGAAATTCAGAAAAAGCATTTGACAAATCCAACAACTATTCATGATAAAAACTCTTAGCAAACTAGGAATAGAGGGGAACTTTCTCCATTAATAAATATAATAACATCTACAATAATTCCACAGCTAACATTATACAGTACTTAATGGTGAAAAATTAGATGCTTTTCCCCTAAGATCAGAAACAGGCAAGGATATCCCTTGTCTCCACTGCTATTCAACATCGTACTGGAAGTCTTAGCTAACACAATTAGACAAAAGAAGGCAATAAAAGGTATAAAAATTGGGAAGGAGGACGTCTGTTTTTCTTTGTGAATGATATGACTGTCTATGAACAAAATCCCAAAGAATCAACAAAAAACTCCTGGAACTAGTAATTATAGCAAGGTTGCAGGATACAGGTTAATATACAAAAGTTAATGGCTTTTCTGCATGCCAACAAGAACAACTAGAAATTGAAACTAAAAACACAATACCTCTTACATAAACACTGAAGAAACAGAATACTTAGTATAAACCTAATAAAATGCACACAAGTTCCGTATGAGGGAATCTATAAAACTCTGATGAAAGAAATCAAAGATCTAAATAAATGAAGATAAATGAAATTAAATTCTTCAGGTAGGAAGACTCAATGTGTCAGTTCTTCCCAATCTACAGATTCAATTTAATCCTGATAAAAATCCCAGCAAGCAATTATACAGATATTGACAAACTAATTCTAAAGTTTCTGTGGAAAGCTAAAAGCTCCAGAATAGCTGACTTAATATTGAAGAAGAGCAGAGCCAGAGGACTGACACTATGAAGCTCAAGGAAAGACAGTATGACGTTCGTGAAAGAACAAACAGATCAGTGAAGCAGAATAGAGAACCCACAAATAGACCCACACAAATAAAGTCAACTGATCTTTGACAAAGGGGCAAAGGCAATTCAATAGAGAAATATTAGTCTTTTCAAAAAA